AACCATGTGAAACTGGGGCAGATAGAACATAAAAATACACTATTGAAATGCATCATGCTGCATTGGGTGAAGATAACGACAAGTTTGCCCCAAATTTGTAGGGGGTCATTCGTGGTAATGAAAGTGAGAGTGTTGTCCAATGGTGCTTTGTATGTAACAAATGTAGAAGGCGAATGTGTGGATATGGTTATCAAGTCTAGCACAATCAAAAGATGTTACGAATGCTTTCCTTAGTTTGTTTAATTGTGTTGTTTGTACTTGGCATGTTTTGGAGATTGGAATGACGAAGGCATTTTGTTCTGCTATCTAAACACTTTATCCTTCGTTACCCCTTTGAGCCTTATTTATTTTCTTTCATACCCCTCTTTCGGAATCAGTAATAAAGATCATAAATGCAAGCGTGAAAGATAAGTAAAGGAAAAAGAAGAAGAAAAAAAAGAAGATAAAGAAAGAGAAAAAGAAAAAAAACAAAATAACAAAAAGAGAAAAAGAAAGAAAAGAAAAGAAGAGAAAGAGGAAGAAAAAGGAAAGAAAAATCACAACAACAAAGTAATTTCTATGGAATAAACTACGTTCGACCTGATTCCTTTTAAGGATACGTAGGCAGCCTCACGGTTCGGTCTCATCAAAATAAAATCCAAAAATCCCCAAGCAAGAAACTGGGGCAGAAGTTGTGGTTGTTGTAAGAAATCTAATTCCGAAAGTTGTAATTTTGAACCCATGTAGAATTGTTTTGAGCCTTTGATACCATTTCTTTCTAACCCTATCCAAAAGCCCACGTTATGGTCCAAAGAAAGACCTTCTGATCAGTCTTCGAGGGATGCCAAGTCGAGAAAGTATATGTGATTTATATCAAGGGCGACACTCTGATCCAAACTGGAAAAATAAAAAATGAGAGAGTCTTATTGGTGAAAACTTTCACGGGCACCTTGAGGTGACTGTAAGTTGAGAGAAAGAACAAAATGAGAGAGGCTTGATGGTGAAAACCCTTCGGGCACTACAAGTCGAATAAGGATTGTGAATCAGATTGGATAATCAGAGCATTGAAGCCCAGTTTCACGGTTTGAAGGTACAACAAGAGTTGAAAATCAGACTTGCTTGACAGAATAGGCCACAGGTGCATGTCATGGTCATTAGAGTTGGTATCCACATCTGATAGGTTTCCACTTTGTAGTTTTCTTGTTAGGAATCATCTCTTCCCTTTGTCCTTTACTCTGTGCCTTTTGTCTAGGTTACTTCCTCTCTTTGAGTCTGTGCAGTTGAAACAAGTGAGAAATGACTTTAAAATTTGCCACCAGCTTTCCAATTGCACAAAACGGGGTCTGGCTAACACATCAAAATGTCATAAGTCAGGAAAAAACAACAAGCTCATTGAGGTGGTAACAATCAACATGCTTTGGGATCCTTGTGAAATACAAAGGTTTTGTACATATCGATTCATTAACAATACAACAAGATGGAGGGTGTTAGGCAAACGGATCAAAGGTATTTTCGGTGAAACACGAAGGTTTGGTACATATCAATCCATGAACAATGCAACAAGATGGAGGGTGTTTGGTGAACGGATCAGAGGTATTTTCCGTGATAAGATTGACGAAAAGGGTGGTAAATCAGTGATAAGCAAGATCTTCCAAGCAGAAGTCAAAGTTATCATGGCAAGCGATAGAGCAATAGACCTCAAGGCCAAGGCCGGTGTTTTAAGTCAGGAAATAATAGAATGCGCACTGAGTGGATGACAATTAACGTGCTTTGGGATTCATGGGAAACATAAAGGTTTAGTACATGTCAATGGTATTGGGTTTTGAATGGATTAGAGGTATTTTCCGTGATAAGGGAGATAGAGAACGTGATTAGTCAATAAACAAGCAAGGTTTTCGAGTGGGAATCAAAGTGATCATGGGAAGTGAAGGAGCAATCGCTCTCGAAATTCAAGGCCACAAACCAACCACCATATTTTTAAACTGACAAGATTTTATTTGATTGAAATAGGGGCAAAAAATTTCATTCATTTCGGAGAACCCTCCGTAAGGAAAGGCAAAGCACCAGACAGGTTTGACCGTAAATTATCAGGACCCTCCTGAAAAATGGGACCTAGTTTAAAATTCAAAACAGTCATGAGTAGTAAAATCTAGTATAAATGTATCCCAAGGAATATAAGATGGTTTTAAAGTTCGCATGTTGGAGATAGGATTCAATTAGCAGTTTTCAGGATCCTCCTGAATAATGGGGCCTAGCTTTAAGATTGTTGTTAGATAACAAGATATAGCGGAAATAATACCTTTATGAGATATAACTTAGGTTTAAAATTGTCGTTTAATTAAGAGTTATCAGGACCCTCCTGAATAATGGGACCCAGCTTTAAGATTTCCATTAAATAACAAGATTTAGCGTAAGTTCTGTTATAGGGTAATATAATTCAACCGTAAAGAAATGTCACTTTTAGGATAAAACTTGACTTTTGATTTTCAGGACCCTCCTGGATAATGGGGAATAGTTTAAGACCCTCTTAGATAACAAAATTGAGCGGAAGTCACACCTTTAGAAAATATAACTTAGATTTAAAATTGTCGTAGTTAAGAGTTGTCAGGACCACCTTGGATAATGGGACCTAGCTTTCAAATTCTTAGTAATATTGGTAATATGATTCAGTTTAACACTCACATATGCGCCCAGCTACCAAACTGGGGCAGAAAATTTTCTTTGTTTTGTCTATTTTTGTTGAAATCAGGGACCCGCTTGGAGAACAGGGAGAAGCAGTTCAAGTTCAGCAATCAGGCGCCCACCTGGAGAGCAAGGGAATACAATTCAAGTTTCAGCCATCAGGCGCCCACTTGGAGAGCAAGGAAATACAATTCAAGTTTCAGTAGTCAGACACCCACCTGGAGAGCAAGGGAATACAATTCAAGTTTCAGCAATCAGGCGCCCACCTAGAGAGCAAGGGAATACAATTCAAGTTTCAGCAATCAGGCGCCCACCTGGAGAGCAAGGGAGTACAGTTCGAGTTTCAGCTTTCAAGTTCTTATTGATATTTGGTAACATGATTCAGTTTACACTCACATATGTGCCCAGCTACCAAACTGGGGCAGAAAATTTTCTTTGTTTTTGTCTATTTTGTTGAAATTAGGCTCCCACCTAGAGAGCAAGGGTATACATTCAATTTCAGCAATTAGGCGCCCACCTGGAGAGCAAGGGAATACATTCAAATTCAGCAATTAGGCGCCCACCTGGAGATCAAGGGAATACAATTCAAATTCATGCAATCAGGTGCCTACCTGGAGAGCAAGGGAATACAATTCAAGTTCAGCAGTCAGGCGCTCACCTGGAGAGCACGGGAATACATTCAAGTTCAGTAGTCAGGAGCTCACCTGGAGAGCACGTGAATATAATTCAAGTTCAGCAGTCAGGCATCCACCTGGAGAAAGGGAAAGCATCTCAGATTACAATTCAAGTCAGCAATAAAAGAAGCTCGCGGCAAGAATGCGAGTCAACAGTCCGAGGTGATCAACAGAAGTTAGTCACAATAAAGAAAAAAAAAGAGAGGATAAAGGCAAGAAGTTAATCCAAATGCAGAAGTTGATGAAAGATGTGGGTTGCCCAAGACATGGTTGAGGTCACAAGCACTACATGTCCGGTCTTGATCCGAAAATCTGAAGAAGAACGAACTAGTATCTGCAACTAGCAAGCGTCAAGGTTCAAATCCAAAGTCTGCATGAAGAACCATTCAAGACTCAATATCAAACTTCAGAGGACTTATAGATAGGAATATTGTAACTCATAGTTGACAGACTTAGTTAGTCTTTTTCATTTTTTGATTTTGATGTAATAACAGGACCGCGAACCTGAACCACGATGGAACGGCACCTCGATCGGCTCTTCACCTCGGTATACTCCATCATCTCGCTCATCTCTGAACTACACATGGCCTGATTCCTTTATAGCCAAGGATATGCAGGCAGCTCAAATACCAGGGCTCGGTCACATTCCCCTTTTCTCTTAGTTTTAGTCCCTCCAAATAAGGGTCGGGTCAAAAAACCTGTCTAGTCATTCTTTGTCTGAAAACTCTTCGCGTTCCAGTCAAAGAGGGGCAGCTGTAGACATGTGATTTTTGACCCTCCCCAATATTTTTATATTTTAGCATGTAAATATTTAATTTAGGCCTAATATAGGTATTTCAACTCATTTTGACTCTTTTACTTTATTTTATTACAAGAAAAATAAAAATTACAAAAAATATTTTAGTTTATGTATTTTTCCTATAAAAAAATTTTAAAAAAATAATACAAAAAATAGTATCTTATTTTTATCTTTATATAATTTCGAAAACACAAAAATAGTTTCATGTTTAGTTTAATTAATTAGGATTAGCTTTGGTATTTATTTCAAATCATAAAAATATAAAAAAATATATTGCATCTGCATTTAGGATTTTATTTTACATTTTTAGATTAATTTGTTTGACAAAAAAAATCATATAAAAAGTCATGTTGCATTTTACTCTTTGATTTTCGAATTGTGATAATTATTATAATTAAATTAATTTGGTAGAATGATTTAGGTTTCAGTTACTTTGTTGTGAGTTATTTGGACATGTTTCAATTGTTATTTTTTTATTTTGCATTAATTAGTCCAAGAAATTATGAGAGTTTCATTAGGAATTCCCTTATTTCAGGATAGTTTATTATGAGTTATTACCTTTTTAATGGCTTAGGTTCATTCAATAGTTGTTAGATATACTCTTCAGCTTTGAATTTTCCTGATCGTCAATCCATTTGAAGATATTAGCTTATTTGTTTGATGTGTATAATTAGGAATTTAAGGTTAGTTTGGGGAATTCCTCAATAAAGGGAATATTACCTAACTCTAAGAAGCTTCTAAAGTGATGGGGTTCAAAATACACTATTGAATAATTAAAAGAAATTGAATTGGGTGGGATCAAATAAAAAATTGTTGAAGGGGCATTTATGAATCAAAGGGACATTTTCTACTGCCTATTTAGACTAAGAAGAATAGGGACAGAAAAACAAGGAAAAAATCAGAGGCTCCTTTCTTGAACACAAAAAAGAGTAGCGCCGCATTTCACAAAGAAAGGACCCCTTCCTTGTCATCCCTTTCTTCAACGGAGAACACACCAAAAAAGGGAGATCTGGTGAACGAACACCTAGGGAAAAGGTGAGGAAATGGAGGAAAATAAATGAAAAAGAAAACGGGAATAGAGAGAGAACGAAAAATACAGTCTGCTTCAGCATTTCAAGCTCGATAAAAAGCTAAACAATCAGCCATTGAAAGAATCCCTTAAGCTCCATAGCTCTTCGACCCATAATTCCCTTCTTTTGTCTATTTTTATCCATTAAAATATAGCTTCTTTTGCTTTGAAATAGTAGCTAAAAACGTGCTCAATTTCAGCCTAAAACACCCTTGAAGCACCTTTGAAACACCAGCCGCAAACCTTTCCCTAAAGCAGCCCCAAACAACCCCGATTCCAGCTAAAAAGCAGGCCCCAAAACCCAGCGAAAATCTGCTCGAAAAACAGTCCAAAAATCAACCTCCACACTCCAAACACCGAGAACATAGCACAAGTTATCAACGAGTTCGAGTCGAGGCGGTTCGAGGTCATCGATTCCAGTTCAAATTCTGATCGATAAGCTCATCGGAGAACTTTCAGAGCTCTGTTTTGTGCTGTACACATTGGGGAACATATTCCATAATAAAGGTTCAATTTTAATTCATTTCTTTATTTGGTAATTTACGTTGTATTTCAGTACTTTCAAATTCATTGTCGTTGCTAGTTTTGGTAATCTTGTCACATGCTTTATGAATTGATTTCTTTGTTGCCATTTGTGCCGTCTCCTTCTCTATTGATTTAGTGATTGTATTTCCAAGGATAGTTGGTTTATTAATGGGTCATGAGAATTTGAGCTGATTGTATATTTGGGTTCAATTGAACTAGGTGCAACAAAGGGCGTGGGCAGAACAAGTTCATTTGCTAGGCCCAATGCTTCAATCAGTAGATTAAGAGATGGCCCAACTTTCCTTATCCAAAAATGATAATTTGTTTTTTGAGAATTTTTTATAAAGCACCATCTTTTAAGTCTAATTAGCCATTTATAGATACCCTTTGTTATATTACGTGTTATAGATACCTTTTATGTTTTTATACAATATATTTTATGTATTTAAGCTGTTGTATTCATTAATACAACCAAAAAAATAGGCGTAAAAACTGGAATTCCAGCTAAGTTTGACATGTATTTAGCTGTATTCAAGCGGCATTAACGTTAAATACAGAAGGTTAAACTGGTTAAAAATGGAAGGAAATCAAATCACATGATATTCTCCTAATTTAACTCCACGAACTAAGGAAATCAAATCACATGATATTCTCCTAATTTAACTCAACGAACTAAAACGATCCCTCATTAGTCTGTATTTGAAAGATACATAATAAAGATTATAGCTGAATAAAGAGAAATACATATGAATAATACAGTTGAGTAGAACTGTATACAGTTGAATACAACAAAATACAACTTAATTCATCTGAATAAAACACTTGAATACAACAAAATACAACTGAATACAGCTGAATAAAACTCTTTAATGCAACAAAATACAACTAACTTCTGCTGAATAAAATAGTTAAATACAACTGATTAAAACTGAATACAAGAGAATACGCATAACTTTTTAATACATCTAAAATATATAAATTAATGCTACTGAATACATGTGAATACAGCTGAAATATACATTCGAATACAACTGAATACAAATAGGCAATTTGGGCGATCTAGAGAGAGAAGCAGCCTGATGGCTTCGCCGGCCGGCAGCCAACCATTAATTCCGGCTGGTCAGCCCCTTAAAACATCTGCCCAACCTCCTACAACAACTACAAACAATCCCCAGCCCTCAAATCCCACAAACGAAGCCATGAATTACGCAAAAGCTGTGAACCCTACTTCAACGACCACTGCCAAGCAGAATCGAGCCGCTACAGTTGAACCAATTGCTCTTCGTCTATCAAAATCAACGAATTAAACTTACCCTAGGCGATTGTAATGGAGTGATAATGGAGGAGAACTAGAGAATTTGGGTGGGAGGAGAGGTATGAATCGTGGGTTGAGGGAGAAAGAGTAAAGTGTATGCAAAAAGAGAGAGAACGTGATTAGTCAATTTTACTGTGATTATGTGAGAGAAAAGACTAAAAAGGAAAGAGAAAAATATTACTTAGCATATATGGTGCCTTAAATGTAGGATGTAACTATAATTAGATATTTGGCTATAAAGTATAAAAGGTATCTATAGGATGTAATATTTTAAAATGGTATTTATTTAAAATAAATAGGGTACTAAGGTTTTCTATAGGGTGTAAAAATTCCTTTTTTTTTTGGATTAACAATATAGTTAGGGTGAAGATTGTGATAAACATAGGTCATGGTTTGCAAGTTACTCACTCTGCTATTTATTTCTAACTTTTGGTAGATTTCTTCCACATGGAATAAATGGAAACTGCTAATTAACAATGTGAATATTTGTCTTACAGTTGTTTTAAAATTCAATTTTCTTTTCTTTTAATGATTTGGGTTTGAGGATAAATTTCAAGTTGAATATTTTTTATTCGTAGCTTTCTGTTCAAACATTCTTAGATTGAATTAATAGTCTGAATGAGATTTGATTTCTATTTATATCTACTTTTGACTAATATCCACTATCTTTTCATTAAAATAAAAAAATAAAGGAATTTTTATTGTTTTTATTTTCAAGTCTATTTTTATCTTGATCAAATATCTATATGTCATCGCACAAAGTTTCAGTACCTTGTAGATACGATCGAAATATTTTTGTCCCAATGTATGTGTATAATTAATAGCTTTATATTGAATTTCAAGATAGTCTTAAGTACGAACAACCATATATTGCTTTAATTGAGTACCAAATCCTTTTAAAATAATTTGAGGCGTGCCATGCCAAATAAAATTCCAAAACTCATGGCCCTCAATTAATTAATTTTAACTCTTTAATAATCGAAGTGTGCCATTAGTTGAATTTTCCATGGCCCTCGCAAACTTGAAAGTGCATAGTTGCTTTAGGCGCGCTATTTAAATTAATTTCCTTAAACTCGGGTGTGCATTTCATGTGAACCAACTCCAATTCTCAACAACGTTAAATAAAATGTGTCGTGGATCGCGGGTGCATTTCATGTGGCGTGGTTCAAGGCGTGTTTTAAATAACGTTGAATCTTCCTAAAAAATAATTAAAAGCGGTTTAATAAGTTAAAATGTACCATAGGCTAAAACATGTATTAAAATCAGATAATAGGCCAATTATAATAGTTTAAGCGACCGTGCTAGAACCACGGAACCCGGGAATGCCTAACACCTTCTCCCGGGTTAACAAAATTCCTTACTCAGAATTTCTGGTTCGCAGATTTCAAAAGGAAAGTCGAAATTTCCTCGATCTGGGATTTAAAATAAACCGGTGACTTGGAACACCAATTGAAATATTCCAAGTGGCGACTCTGATAAATAATTAATCTCATTTCAAATAATGTCACTTAAAGTGGATAAACTCCCTTGTACCCTTTCGGGTGGTAAAAAAGGAGGTGTGACACTCATCATCATGTCATGTTGCTCGGCTACTTGCCTCATCATCATGTCATGTTGTTCGGCTACTTGCCTCATCATGTCCATAAGACGAGCCATGCTTTCCATATCCTCCACTTCCTTGCTCCTATCAAACTCATAAATATTATTAGAAACATTATAATAAGAACTCTGAGAAGGATAATAAGAATTAGGACAACCATCCCAATGGCCACCTTGACCACCACACATATTACAAATATTCCACCTATAAGATTGAGATTCACAATTTTGCCACAAGTGTGGTCCTCCACAATATGGACGAGGATCACCATAATAAGAATAACCAATATTCGACCAATTATCATTCCAAGATGCCATATCAACAAAGATAATAAATACTAAACTAAAATAAAAATTTAAAGACTTAAATAGACAAAGAGTAAAAATCTAATCTAGTAGACTAGCTAGTTAATTTCTAAGTCCCCGAAAACGGTGCCAAAAACTTGTTTCTCCCAAACGCACACGCAAGTATACGTGGTCGACAAGTAATATAGGATTGTAAGTCCAGATATCGTACCCACAGGGACTTGTGATTAACTATCAACTAAATTAAACCAAATAATTAATCTATTCAAGCGAATCCTAAAGTATGTATATTTTACTACAATTAATCTAAAGTAGCAAACACAGAGATTAAAGAAAACAACGACAAGCTTAACGACAAATTCAATGTGAGTGAATATTCTAGAGCTATGGGTTAGCTAACAATTCCATTGAATTTTTCACTTAAATCGTCTAATTAATTTATCTAGTTTATTGGTTGACAGGGTTAATATTGCTCGTAGCCTTCTCACGAAGTAGAACTCGCCTATTCAAGCTAATCTAACGCCTATATTCCTATGAAATTAGAATTAACAAGAACGCACTAATAATTCCTGTATAGTAACCAAGCAAGGAGGTTAGGTATATTCCTATCCTAACCGCAAATTCCCCTCCCTCACCCCTCCCAGAGTTAAGATCTTGCTCTACTCAATCTTATATGCAATCTGGAATTCCCTCTCCCGAGTTCAATCCTAGATTCGTAGATAGTATTCAATTGGTGATCAATCAATTAAATAATTAAGCACAAGATTAAATAAATAAACCAATATGATAATATAATAAGAACAATCTAAGCTTCGAACTACAACGTTCATGTAGCACCCAAAACTCTAGAACTAATAAACTATGAAATTAAAGGAAGAAAAGAGAAGAAAAACTAGTTAGAAGCCTCCTCCAAGCGTGTTGTATCTTCCCCCACGTATAAAGTGTGTCCCTAGGTCTAAGATGTGTCAAAAGTCCTCAAAATAGAGTTTTTATATGTATTTATACCAAGTAGGGTCGGGCCCAGACGAAACACCCTTTCCTGCGCGAAATAGGACTCTAGCTCTGTAAAATTTGTATAGGGGCGCCTCACCCTGCAGCGTCCCATGTGGTGTGGTAGTGAGAATTTGCGAAAATGCAAAACATGAAAGTTGTAGCCCTTTCGAATAGCTTTCCAACGATATATTGTGGAGTCCAAACGGTATTTTGAGCGAAAAGTTATGTGCATTTTACTAGACAATGCGCCGTATGCCCGCTCGATTCTTCGTTCTGTTCTTAACTATCATCCGTTGATCCCCGGACACGATCCCGGCTTAATTCCTTGGGCTTTTACTTAGACTTCAAAGCTCCAAATCACTTGAGTTCATTCCATAACACTTACGTAGATCGGAATCACTCATACAAGGCATAAAACACATATTTAGTGCAAAACACTAACGATTAAAGCTCAAACTCAATTAAAGTGCAGTAAATTAGAGTGTAATAAGTGACTAAAATACACAATTATGGCCTATCATCACCGGATAAGAAGTTTTGTTGACCACAGAGAGGTGCGAGGCACTCCTCGAATCCCATGGTTCTAACAAGATCGCTTTTATTTACTAAAACTTGGCTTAAATAATTTTTGGATAAACGGTATTATTTACCTTATATTACTATTGTCTATTACCGCTTAATAATTAATTAAATTTTATTAATTTTGACTCAGGAGCGTGCAAGCACATAAGGTCTTTTCTTTGATTATATAATCAATGTGCGGGTATCAACACATGGTCAAACACAATTTATTATTGACGAGTCAAGGATCGGAAATACACGCATGATCATTTTTATTATTTGATATTAACAAGAATAGTGTAAGAACACATGATCGACATTTAAAACCGCACCTAAAATTACTTAGCGATTAAATTAATTAAGGGGTAATTAAATTATTTATTCAAGAGGAATGAATATGTTATGATTACATTTACTAATTAACTAACACGCGACATTAAACTTGAAATAGCTTATGTTTAATGATTTTTTTATGGCATTGGGCCACTTTGCTTCTTTATGAAAAAGGGCCGGCTTATTTTATTTATATCTGTAAAATGGGCTTGACTAAATTTTCAGCTAGTTAGCCCAACTTAGAGTAAAGTCTTATGTATGATTTTAGGTAAAAATTGCACGGATCTTATTTGATCGTCCCCATTTAACTTATACCTATTTTTTTTAAGTTTCAACT